CCGCTCCGCCCCGCCCCCGCTCCACCCCGCGGCGCCACGCCCCCCTGCGGACCCGGGGCCTAGTGATTAACTGAGCAAATAATTCCATGAGCCAACAAAAGGACGACGTGACACCACCTCCTGAGGTCCTCCTCCCTCCGTCACGTCGCGCCGTTTCGTCTCGCTGTTCGCGTGGACAGATAGCTCCGCGCGGTCGCCTCCTGGGGACAGCGGGCACCGGGGGCTGGGGACCCCGCACAGGGGCCGCGGGGGACAGTCCGAGTCCGAGGGACAGTCGGTGAAGCGTCGAGGTGGGGCGGCTGTAGCTGGGGACCAGTCGTCTGATTCAGAAGAGCGTTCAAGAGGGGCTCTCCTATACCTCCCGTATAGCTCCGTCCTTGTTGCACTCAGGTATAGGAGGGCAGGTTTTGGAGAGCCCCTCTTGAACGCTCTTCTGAATCAGACGGCTGGTGTGTACACGCTGTGAACTAAAATTTCCCCGCTGCACTTTATTAAACGGACCGCCACGACGAGTGGGCAGAAAATGTAGCTGAGCCCCTGCATGAGGTCAGGTCAGAAAGCTCTGTATGCGGCCAATGCGCGACGAACGAGGTGGCGCCTCGGGCTCCTCCTCTGGTATTGGATAGAATATCATACGTTTGACGTCGTTTTAGCGAGGGTACGCCCGCGTGCCGCCTTGATTTTGGGGGCAAGCGCCTTCGGCTTGCAACAAAGGAACCTACAAGCAGACCAGCTGAGCGAGAGCGAGAGCGAGCAGAGAGCGGCGGTACGCCGCTTTGGCGTCGTTGTTGCCCCAGGTTGCCTCAACAATTATTTCCCATCGACAACGCAGATAGGCCTAGTCGTACAGCGGCGGAGCTTGAGCCTGTCCAAACTGTCTCTAATTCGGCCAGCAATGAGCAGCAAAGGTGAGAGTTCGTGTGAAGGTGACGACTTGCGCCCTAAGCACCACGAGTCTGGCCGACTGATTCAGAAGATCGCTTTCGTATACCTCCCCTATAGCTCCGTCTCTGTCGCACGCATGGGACAACCGGGGCAACCCCACTTAAACGCTCTTCTGAATCAGTCGGCATAGGGCTGGGGCTGGTCTACTAGTGGCCTAGGAGCAATCTGCCCTGGTTGGGGGCGGGGCTATTCGAGCCATCCACTCACTTGTCGGGTGCGTCCAGGCGTTGGCCGCCGAGCTGGCGATGAGGGCCAGGAAGATCAGCAGGACTGCCATGTCCAATCCACGGGAGCAGCCGGCGACGTCTGCGGCGGGGCGGAGCTGGCGGAGACGCGCTCCTGGCTGCCTGCTCGCCCGGCGCAGCGCAGCACGGCGCACCGGCCACCCCACGCCCACCAGCCTCCTCCCCCACGCCCCTTCGCCGTGCCGTGAGGTGAGCCGTGACCGTAAAGCATTGATATGACAGACGGTCCAGAACACCCGTCTCTCCGATCTGGTGCGTCGCCACGGCGCGTGAACCGGGCGAGAAAATGAGAAAACTTGTTGCAAATCCATTGTCACTTGTACTTTACGTTACGTCAAGCTTAGACATGTACCTACCTAGGCTGTTCGCATTCCGAGTCGTGTGGATCCCTACATGCTCTTGTTGACGTGATGTGTTAGGCAGTTTCAGCAGCGCGATTAGAGAGAGTTTGCTCGCTCGCTCGCTCCCCGACCCGCGCGCCGCCTCCTTCTTTCACTGTATGGTGGCTTTACTTTTCTCTTAAACACGCAATTCAGTTCAGATTCTCATTATTTCTTCACACTGTGCAATTTTGTTAACTTGCAACATTGACAAACAGTTATAAGCGATTTTAAGCGCTAAGTGAGCGCTCTAATCGCGCTGCCAGCCGCGACTCAGTACTTAGATATAATTAGCACTGCTAACTGCCACTATGGTTTTTGTAATTATAAAATCATCATACACTGCATTGAGTCAAATATCGGCTCTTTTAAAACATCCCGCGCTGGGCTATCCCCACGGCCACCCCACAGGTCAACAACTTAGTGTCGTTTGACCTCTGACGCCGAACCCCTGTCACTTTCAAAAACGGGCACCATGGATTTTCAAAGAAATTACATTGTAATATATATTTGTTGGCACTGGTTTGAAAACAAAGTATTTTATTATTCCAATCAGTGATAATGTTTCTTTGAGGATACATCCATGTCTTTGGTATTGTGGTCCTCTTGTGTTTCCTTTCCGGAAATGATTGTCGCGTTCATTTTGACCTCAGCTGATCCTTGTATTTTTGTGCATCTTACTTAAGCGAAATCAACAAAAGCAAGAAAAAATTTTCGGTGTCCTTGCTCATTTACTATGATTAAGATCCATTAATCTTGGAAAATGAAAATAAATACATTTTCATAGGGGAGAGATGGCAGCACTTCCGCTACGCCTTCTAGAAGCTAACGTGTCGATGACAACATCCTGTTCCCCAGTTCATTTCCCAGAAAGTAGTGCAAGTACCTCTTTGGAATGTTTTTATTTGACGGAAGAAAATAGTTGTGACGATATATTTATGTTCCAAGACGAAGTCTGCGTGTGTGTGAACATTTGAGTGCGCCCGGGGGGCTTGTGATCTTGCTACTGGCGGCCCAGAGGCCGTAGCGTCCGTCGTCTAGTCTGGCTGAGTGCCGAGCCTTCGCCTGGACGCCATTAGTGGCTAAAAGTGCTGCGTTACAGGCTCACCCCGATTGATGATTGGGATCACCAAGGAGGAAAGGCAACGCATCACAGTGAAAATTCGCAACAACATGAAGAGGAGCTCTGACCGGGACACGCCTCCGTCCCGCAGCAAGCGGTCACGGTCCAGTATTGGGCGCTACGACGACAGTTCCGACGAGAGGATGACGCCAGACAGGGACAGGGACAGAGTACGCGGCGGGCCGGGTCCTGGGCGTCGGGGTAGCCGCGCCGGCAGCAGGGGGCGGTCCACCAGTCCGCGGAGGTACCCGTCGGACGGGGCTCACCGCGAGAGGGACGAGTATCGTGGCAGGGACGACAGGACGTACTCGTCTTACAAAGTGTTATGTGTGAGTGCGCTGCATCCCAAGGCGAGTGACGAAGTGGTAAAGGATACCCTGTACAGAGAGTACAAGAAGTTTGGTGACATCAGCATTAGGATCTCACGTGACTTGGACGAACGTGTGGCTTATGTTTGTTTTAGGAGCTCAGAAGACGCTAGAGATGCTAAACATGCCAAGCCAAGGATAATTATTTATGACAAAGTTGCTGTTGTGGAAGCTGTGTACGAGACGAGCCGTGGTTCTGGTGATGTGTATCGTCGTCCCACTAGCAGACCCAGAAGCAGGTCTGTCAGTCCAGAGTATGATAGGTATTATCAGCGTTCACCTCCACCTGAACGACATCGTCCTGGTGACCAACGCTATGATCGATATGGCCCACCACCTGGCATGCAGCACAGAGAATTCCGTAGGGATGGTCCCCCTCCTCATGATTTCATGCGCCCTCCTGTTCATCATGGCCCTCCACCCCATTTGCCACCAGGCCCTCCACATCACTATGGACCACCACGTCACATGATGCATGGTGGTTTTAAGCCGCCTGGTGGCCCTGGAGGACCTCATTTTGATAAAATGGATCCAAAGAAAGATAAATTTCCTAATTACTTGCAGCACTTGCCTCCAGAAGATGATCCTCTTGCTACTAGGACATTGTTTGCTGGTAATCTTGAAATCAATATTTCTGATGATGAGCTTAGAAGAATATTTGGGAGATATGGAAATGTTGAAGACATAGATATCAAGCGTCCTCCACCAGGCACTGGGAATGCATATGCCTTTGTCAGATATCAGAATTTAGACATGGCTCACCGAGCCAAAGTAGAACTGTCTGGGCAGTATATTGGTAAGTTTCAATGCAAGATAGGGTATGGTAAGGCCACTCCAACTACAAGAATTTGGGTTGGTGGCCTAGGTCCTTGGATTTCAGTACCTCAGCTTGAGAGGGAATTTGACAGATTTGGTGCTATTAAGAAGACTGACTATGTAAAAAATGAAAATCAGGCTTATATTTTGTACGACTCAATTGACGCAGCACAAGCTGCTGTGAAGGAAATGAGAGGATTCCCTTTGGGAGGTCCAGATAGAAGACTCAGAATTGACTTTGCAGATGCTGGCCCTAACTTTGGTTTCAAACAACGACCCCCATTTCCACCAGAGGATGCTGCATCTGGCGGTGAATTCCGCCCACGACCCCCAGGAAGAGAAGATTTCCCCTATGACGCTCCTTATGATGCTCCTTATGAGGGTGGTGAGTTTGGAAATTACAGTGGGCCACCAAGAGGGTTTAGAGGAAGAGGTGGGATGCCGTGGCATGATAGAAGAGGAGGTGGGAGGGGTGGTTTTAGAGGTGGCCCTGCTGCATTTCCACCTGACAATTATGTCAGAAATGATGATCCAGAATGGAATTCTCGCAGACCACCACCAGATGCAGAATATGATGGAGCTGGAAGGCGCTCAAGTGTTGGCGAAGGTGGCGCTGATCGTTCTCGGTCAAATTCACCTCGCAGGCATTCTGCTGGAAGTGATTCCGGATCAGAGAGAGGACGCAATGGGCTCATGGGCTCTGCTCACACCCTTCCAGAACTTGCTCGGAAATGCTCAACTTTGTGGCAAGGTGCTCTCATTCTTAAAAATTCTCTATTTCCAGCCAAATTTCACCTTTCTGATGGAGACTCTGACATCATTGAGGGCCTAATGAAAGATGAAGATGGTAAACACATGTTAAGAATAACTCAAAGGCTCAGACTTGACCCACCTAAGCTAGAAGATGTGTCAAAGAGAATCTCATCTTCCCTTTCACATGCTATTTTCCTAGGGTTGGCTGGTTCATCAGCCTCTGTATCAAATGATGATAGTACAGTGCAGACTCGTCCTCTCAGGAATCTTGTGTCCTACCTGAAACAGAAGGAGGCTGCTGGTGTAATTTCTTTACTTAATAAGGACACAGAAGCCACTGGTGTTCTTTATGCTTTTCCTCCTTGTTCATTTTCTACAGACCTTTTAAAGAGAACTGCCCCTAATCTGACAGAAGAGAGTTTAAAGGAAGACCACCTGGTCATAGTAGTTGTGCGAGGTGGTAGTGCATAGCAATAATCTTTTCAATTAGTTGACTGTAGAATGCCTCAGAAGGAATACTATCTTGCACTTAAGCTTTGGGCTTTGGCTTTAATTCATGTCATGTGGTACACACATATTTTTATATTGTACTCCTATTAATAATGAAGTGGACCTACAAATGATTATGTACAATCATGACTTTTATTGATTTGATTGACCTCAGGCTAAACTCATTAGGTCGTCAGATTGAAAATATTATTTGTACCCTATAGTATATTTTTTTGCTTTTATGTCACAGAGTTTGTTATCAGTGTAGAATTTTGATGCTGTGGTCAATTTGTGATGCAGTTTAAATAAATAATTTCTCTTTTAAAGTGAAAGTATATGGTCCAATAATAGATGTAGATAGTAATATATGATTAGGGTTTAGCTGAAAATTTTGTAACCCTCTTATAATTGTTGATATACATGGAGGATAAAATATGTTGTTACTTTACAGTGAAAAACTGTACTGTTAAATATTTGAGTAGTGATTCGAGGTGGTGTAAGAAACTTATATTTTACTTTGATAATTTCCTCTTTTTTTTTTCTTGTATCATCTTTTGCTTTACTTGCTATTTACTAACAACTGTCTTGTTACAACATTTTCTATCTATCATGGTGATCCACTCTGCAATAGAAAATCAATAATGTATGTATAGTTGTAAATTGAACTTGTAAACTAAAAATTAAATTATCCTTTTTTTTTTTTTTTTACTGCAAGGATATTGTCTTCCATTTGACATGTTCATTCATTGTGATGAATTAAAGTTCCTGCAAAGAGTGTGGAAGTCTATGTGTGCCTGTGTTTGTATAATACTTTTCTTTCTAGAAATACTTCGTGGGATACCTCTACAATGTGCAATAGTGATAGTGATATCAAGCCTCAGACTAAGTGCTCGTCATTAATCTGGCTTTGTGCGTTAAGTGAAGTGCAGTGCAGTGTTGTGCCTTGAAAGACTCCAATTTTCCAGTTTTATGATAATTATTCATGGAATAGATCTTTCAGTTTTTCACAAGAACTGCCTTTTTTAATTTATTTTTTATTTTGATTGTTAAGTGGAAGTGGTGGGAAACTGTGTCAACTGTGCCTAATCGTGAACCCAGGAGAAGTGCAGTGTTCAAGTGTGTTTGTGTGCAGTAAGTTTTGTGAAATAGAGAAGTCCTTGCAGATTATTGTGATTTTCATTTTTTCAATTTGCTCCCAGTGCCCAAATAACTCATAAGTGGTGAAAAGTGAAAGGTGCCTCAAGGATACAAAGAATAAGTGATTTCACTGTGATAGTGCATCTTTGAGTTTTTCTTTTTCATTCTTTATTTATTGCCAGAGAGCAAACATTTTAGTGATGTGTGAAAGTGCTGTGATACATTAGATATTCATCATTGACATGAATTTAACATTAGTGAAACAGTGGAAGTGCTTTGAAGTCAGAACCATTAAATCACATGAAATGGAATCACAATTTAGGATGTAGTGCAGTGTTAGTGATTGGATACCAGAGAAGTTACCAGAGAGAAGTGCTTCTAGTGCTAAAGAAATTCACATGGAAGCAAAATTTCACTGTGCAGTGATTACTCTCAAGCTAGTGTTGATGAGTTATCAAAAGCCTTCTTGCTTTCAAACATTCCCTACGTGTGGGTCTTGTGTAGTGTAGTGCAGTGCTGTGATCAGTGAAGTGAAGTGCAGTGTTGTGCAGTGTAGTGCTTATCTGGGGATTCTCTCCAGTTGTACAAAGTACAAAGTTCCATTCCGCGTCACCACAAACCTATCATTTCATCAATTATCAGTTTCCTTGAAGACCAGAGAAGCTTCATCATCAGAGATTGGCTACATTGCTACCTCTTCATTTACGTATATCTTTAGTGCATTTTCGAAAAATCTCCACTTTCTATCTTTCTTTCCAGCTTTCAAATGTGTTATTTTCTGCTATCCAGACCACTGAAATGTGAATATCTTTTTCATAGTGACAAGAAGCTGTTTGCATCATTTTTTTATTTTTTTTCATTTTTTTTTTATGGTTAATTATGTTTTATAATCAGGGGCTCCATTTTTGAAATTACTTTTTATAATAAGTTGTCTATTTTGGGGTGTCACTAGATATTTTAAGTATCTATCTATCTATATTCATTTACGGGCAGTAAAATGTCCAGTGCTATATGCTAGATGAGTGCTTTTGCTTCAATGTCACAGTTTCAGTTTTGTCCTGTCACATATTTGATGGCTGTTTTCTACACCATAGAATTGGATTAATGGCTAACTACTGGTTCTTTTTTCCTGTCTCGTACCACAAGTTGAAGCCTTCAGTGTGGATTGCGTCCAGGGGAAGGAGGGGAAGGAGCTGCTATGGCAAGCAAAACAAGTCTGAATGTTGTAAACATTTCTGGCTCGTTTCTCAGCCTGTTAACGGAAGTCATTTCACTGTCTGGCACATTATTGAAGTGCCTTGGAAAGCAGTGAAGCATTGGACCCCTTATCCCTTTACCTGGACGGAACCGTAATGATATGTGAGTGTGGCTGTGTTGTGGATGACAAGGCTTTCCGAAAGTTAACTCTGTTTCTAGACTTTTCTTCTCCTACAACAGATTTCATTTATTCAAGATTTGCTCCTATCCTGTCAATCTTTTTCTTTTTAACTGCAACTATATCCCCATTCCTTTTCATTTTTATACACTCCATAACTCATGTCCTAACCACATCATACTATGCCTGTGCCTTAGTTTTCCTGTTGGCATTACATATTAGTTTTTGATTCATGAAGACTGACAGTACTTAAGGTCTGTAGATTTAATTTCCTAGTCTTATTAAGTTCTAGTAATTTGGCTCATATTCTTATACAAATTCTATTTGTGTGCTCATTAATTTCAATTGTTTTTTATTTTTATATCCTTTGTACTTCTGGAAGTATTGCCTACACCTTTTTGCTGAGTATATTCTTTTTGGTGTGTAATTCTTGATGATTAGCCCAGCCGTAATCAACTCCCTTAAATCACTTGCAGTATATTATTTCATGCTATTTATAATTAATCTAACTTCCAACCTATATAATATTGAATCCCTCTCAAACTCTCCTCATTCTTGGTATATTTCCGTTTGGAAAATTGTGAAATGTGCTCGTCAGAGAAAAAGATGAAATGCCTCCAAAATTCCAACATCAGAACTTGTGCATGCTCATCTAATACCCCACTTCAACTCAAGTGAGAGAAAAGAAAGGAAAGATTTGAAAAAAAGAAAAGAAAGAAAAACACCCTTTGTTTCCCCATTACACATTTTACTCAAAGTTCCACATGATCTAAGAAGTATTCACTCACCATGCAGTACAATCCTCTGACAGATCTCTAAACCAAATTTCAACTATAAGAAATCAATCAATTGGTATTAAATAATTTGCTTCACACTTACTGTAAGTTACCTGAAAAATCTTACAATACAAAGGCCACAAAGGCTATATGCCACTACAATTGAAATCTATAGTCACTTCTGGGGGGCAGAACAGATATTCCTTCTCAAAGGGGTTTCAAGTATTACTCAAACCTAAAATATCTCTTTTTTTTTTTTAAATAAGTAAATAATTTAACAGTTGGCTTTGAGAGGCAACTATGAACTTCTACGCAAAGGGGGAAGGATCCAGAAACAAGGTAAGTACCAATAAGAGAAGTAAAAATTTCAACCCTTCTGGAAAAAAAGGAAAGTATATTTGATCAACAAACTACGACTGGCAGAAGGGAACATGCAATTTCAAAATGAGTTGAAATATAGAATGTAATTTTGATTCAAATGATTGCATCTGAAAACTTGCGCAGTAAAGCTAAATTCGTCAGCAGAACGGTTATCTTTCTGCACAAGAACAAGTCAACTTTGAAAGGACAGCATTGCATGTGAGAGCTAAGTGAGTTATGATTCTTTTCACACTGCTCTTTCACAGAACGGGTGCAGTGAAATCATTTTTTATGAACCATTTCTTTGAAGGAAATGGTTCAACAAGGTTATTTTCTCTCTCCATAAGAAAATGGCACAGCTCATTTTGAAATATACATGATATGTGGTAGTTTTTAGTAAATAGTCTAGTAAAGCATGAACAATTATTTATTTTAGACTCATGATGGATGAGCAATCGCTTTTAATTAACAATAAAAAGAAATCCAGTACAAATTTTTATTAATTCAAACATCCTCTTCCTGCATTGTCAAAGTTATTTAGAATTAAGTAATCATGGGAGCACAAAAATACAGATAGATAAACTACATAGTACCTACAACCTATTAAAACGGAAGGAACGTTTTGAAGGTAGGGCAGCATGTTGACTTTCAGTAACAACTACAAATGGAACTGGACCAGGCTCTTTTGGTGGAGTTAGATACACACATTGTGGTAGGCAAACAGCACCCAAGACCAAGCAATTCACATTGTCTAGAATATTGGGAGGTACTGGGGTCAACAGGTAAAGATTCTGTGACTCCATGTCAATTCCACGAACAATTCCTGAAAACCCAAATATGTGTAAATTCCAACTGGTAGTAAAAAAATGAAAATAAGATCAAATTTATAACACTCACCAAAACCTAAGCAGTTAGCTACATTACGTCCAGTTAAAATAGAAGGAAGTCCAGGCTCTCCAGCTCTAATTACATTAACTTCTTCAGGACTAACAGAGCATAAAGCAACTAAACTAGCATTAAAAGCTGACAGTGCTGCTGAAGGTGGAACATTCTCATGACATATGTTGAGGTATAGGGAATCCAGGGGACAGCTAAAATCATCAGATATCGGAGTGAGAATAAGTTACATGGAAATGCAAATACCAAGGGTGACTGGAATACATACCAATACGGAACAGCCTCAAGGAGAGACAAATTTTGAGTACTAGCTATTAGAGACAAATATGAAAGTAAAACAATCTCTCGAGCTGGTCTTGCACTAATGCCTCTGCAAAAGAAAAATGAAATCCATAAATCTAGATTTAAAGCAAATCAATGATATACAATGCTAAATACGGAAAATGCTACTCACAATGAATCGTGATGTTCTGACAATGTGTCTGTCACAGACTTAACAATATGGAGTTTATAGTCTAATGAGCTTGGACATGATACCTGGTGACCCTGAGCCATAAGTTGAAGCCTGAAGGGTGAGCTGGAGCACATTCTCTTCACATATTCGACAGATAACTGCTCGGGATAATTACGTGAACTAATCTTGCTCTGTACCTGAATAACGCCCGTAGGCTGCAGAAGTGAAAGAGTTTCAACTATAATTGAAACTCCAAGTCCTGAAATACAAAAAAAATTAATGCAAACTAATTAGTTATGGCCAATGGAAATAATAGTAATTTAAACAGTAGGTAAACTCAATGCACCTTTGTTGAAACCCATTGTGTTGACCACACAAGGTATATCCCTCAAATTTTCATCAGATCGCCAATAATTTATGATAGCTAAGCAGGCATCCATATACCGAGACACACAATTTGAGACATTAATATCACCAACATAAATGCATCTGCAAAATTAAGTTTAAGAAAAAAAAAAAAAAAAGAAAAAAAATTAAAATTGAAAAACACAAGGTTGTATCAAGTCAAGCCAGATTTCAGAAATGTACATACTTCAGTGGATCTTGCAAATGAGTAAAGTTTGGACCTAGAAGAGGCTTGGCAACAAGGGAAATAGACACACATCCAGGTACAGTCAATTCAGTCTGTCCTGGATCAAAATCAATCAATAACACACTTTTCTTTCCACAACTAAGTAAACGATTCACCATAAATCGTAGCATTGTGGACTTGCCAACACCTTTTCCTCCACAGATAACTGTACAGCCTGCAACAAAAGACAAAATAAAAAAAGGTAAGAAATGCATAGGTGTGCAAGAAAAATTACAGGCAGCAAAGTTTATAGAAAAATTGATTAGTTTATATGTAGAAAGACTTCCACATTGTAGCAGATTTTCTTACCAGATTGCAGACCAATGTTTTCACAAACATCATCCCAATCTTCTCCCTTCTGATATTTATGGCTTGCTGATGGTGGATAGCATAAACACTGCAGCCTTTTGCTTGCCTTCCAATATGAATGTTGGTTTACTTTTTCAGGCGGGGCCGGGAATAATTTAATATTCACATACTGCTCTAAAAATTGGGGTAGAGTGTTTTCTGACTTTTTCATCAAGAGCATTGCATCCCCGTCATTTCCTATAATATTTACATGGAAGAGTTAGTGGAATAAATATCTCTATTTTGAAATTAAATTTAAAAGTTAATATAACAATACCTTCTGCAGCTAAACTGGCAAGTGAATTACTTTCTTCTAGAATATGAGATTTATGACACTCATCATCAGTTAAAACAGTTTGAACTGAAAGCAGGCTGCTACCACGAGCAGAAAAGACAGTATGACATCCACTTTCAGGTGTCAAGCGATATCCCAAAATTTCCACAGTTCCTTTGAGTACCTCTAACTGAACCTGTGAAAGCAAATCAACAATAAATGAATCAAAATTTATTATTACGTACCTGTAATAAATGACAAGAAAAAGTAAGCAGTTACCTGTCCACAAAATATAAAGGTGGATGGGTGTTTGAGATTGAGAACAACATGGCCATCTATAAAATGAAATTCCGCTCTAGACCAATCATTTGTAAGCTGTAGCACTTTCTCTGATGTTTCTACAACATCCTCAAATTCACACTCGCTTCCAGCATTAGACAATCTATCATCGACTTCTGGCTGGGAGTCATCAGACTGCACTTCACTTTCTGAACAGCTATGCATGACTTCATCATCTGTAAGTTCTTTAGAAGGCAACGTCTTCTCACATACAGTAGTAACACTGAAAGCGGATAGACAAGAGTCCTTCTTTTTTGCAACTTGAGCACTTAAGATTTCTTTGCCTCTTGATTCATCAGAGTTGCCGGAGTCATCTTGTGTGACAGTAAAGATAGGACCTTGGATGCTTCCGGGTTTCATTGTAACTGACATTGGAGCAAATCTTTTCTTTACAGAGCAAATATTTTTGTTTTTGTGTAACCTTTTGATTTTCTTTCCTTTCAACTTCAAGGGACGAGTTGAGTCACGGTTTGACACATTTAGAACATCCATTGGTTCCTCATCTCCATCTTTCTTAGCTCGGTTTGTTTTACCAACACGTGATGCTCTTATGATTGGATTGTCTGAATCTTTCTTCTTAGAGGTGTATACTTTACCAATACGTGAAGCAGCTATGAATGGACTGTCGAAATCACTCAGATTATCTAATTCAGGAGATTTTGTTTTCGAACAGCTTGCACTGTCCACTTTGCTACATTGCGGTGAGGTATAAATCCTATCTGAATGGCCATTAACCTTCTGGAAATTAGCAATGGGCTCTTCCATGGATATTTTCTTACTAACAAAATCAGAGTTTCTTTGCTTACGGGATACATCCTCTCTAGAAACTTGGTCTGACACACCATTCGTTTTACAACTTGTTGTGGCTACCTTTTTAATGCGTCCAGCTGCAGTTGATTTCTTCTTCGTAACACGATCATTTAGATCATGAAGAACTGATTGACTTCCGATGTTATCCATTGTCTCTTTCTTGACATTGAAAAATAACACAGGATCCTTGACAGTAGGCTTTGCCTTATGTATTTTCACTCGGTTACCTTCTGTACGTTTCTGTTTCATCTTCTTAATAACTGATTTGGCTTGTTGAAGCCGCTGAGCCTCCACTTTTGCATTAATGGGAGGCATATTCACATTTCCTGTAGTCACAATGAACCGGCGTCGACAACGGTTGTTTTAACACTTCGACCACGTTGTAGAGGGTTATACTGCACGCTGAGAACACAGGCCACAGCGCGCGCGCACACGCACACACACACTCCCCCCCCCCCCCCTCCTTCCCTCTTCTCTTATCCAGCCAGAATTTGAAAACAAAAAACACATGAAATCCTACTGCCAAAATAAATAAATAAAAATCTTTGAATTACGAATAAGAAAAACAGTTTGCCAAAGGAAGGGACAGTGAAACTGGAACCTTGAACTTTCGTTTTGTTTGTAACCCATGCGAGATTGACTCACCGGCCGGATAGCGAAATTCCTCTACGGCGGGTGGGAAGAATAACTTAGTTGTAATGTGAGCTATTACATCAGTGCAAAAGACCATTGCCAGCCAGAGACTGAATCTATTTGTCACAAGTGTCATGTCACAGATCAGTTCATTCTCTCTGATCAAGAAGATGCAGATGTGTCTACCCAGCTTGTTCTTGTCCCAGCGTAATGTTTGAAGGATTCAGGGTCGTGATTGAGTCAACATTATTCAGTGGCACTACAGTTTATTTTCGAAAACATGCAGAACAAGTCAGAAGAAACGATGAACAGGCCTGCCAAAGTGGCCCGCAAGTTAGTTACCACTAGTTTAAATCACAGCGGGAACTTAACTTACGAGCCACCTTAATCAGGAATCCTCACAGCAGCTACCACATTATTTCCCTGCAATTGTATTAGGTTGTACAGGGTGAATAAATCTGAATACTTCATATTTTTTTGAACAATTTATTTGCATAAACTCAAGCTGAACTTGATCATAATCTTCGACCTACATATAGGCCAGGAATAAGAAAACTTAACCTAAATTGTGTGGAATGATCGAAGGCCAGGTTGATTTAATGCATTTAAACTGCACAGCTGGTTGAACCTGCAACAGAAATTATTGTATTGTGAGTTTTTCTATGACAAATACGAAAAACCGAGTTAAAAATCATGAAATGAAGCATCAGTCAAAAGTTCGGCATCATGATTTTCAGCCGAAAGATGGTGATTAAATTGCAATCATCATAAGCTTCAATGATAACTAAAGGGTTTCACATGTTTACTTGGCCACTGAAACATCAGTAATAGTTTGACATCAACATAATCAGCCGAAAGATGGTGATCAGATATATTCATCATAGGTTTCAAGTGCTGATATGCAATAAGCATTTTACTTTCAGACTCAACTGAAGATTCAGATAGAAATAGATCATCAAAAGTTATCAGCCGAAAGATGGTGATTGGTTTGAATCATCATAAACTTCAGGAGCATGTTAAGGGAATTTAAGACCAGAAATATTTAAATAAAGTTCAACTCACATTAAGGTCTAGTCGAAGAGACCGAAGCCCATGTCATCATCCTCTTCTTCAGATTCCTCCTTCTTGGCTTCCTTCTTGTCCTCTGTAAACAAAAAAAGAACATTGTGAAAACTTGTAAACTATCTAGTAAATAGAGAGAGAAAGTTTTGACATACCCTTCTTCTCAGCGGCAGCGGCAGGAGCAGCTCCAGCAGCAGCGACTGGTGCAGCACCAGCAGCAGGCATGGTGGCAAGCTTCTCCTTACCTATAGAAGTAAAGTTTCGTAAACATTTATATTCATTAATTAATTTATATAATAAAAAAGAAATTGCAAGAAGGGAAAAGAGCTACCAACCCTCCTTGATGAGGTCTGGGATTTTCTTCCCCTTCAGCTGGTTGATAACCCTGGTGAGGGCATCCTTGTCAGCCTCAATGCCTACGGAGCTGAGGATCTTCTCAATATCACCAGCAGCTGGGGCCTCCTTACCGCCGAGCACGGCCAACAGGTATGCAGCCACGTAACGCATCTAAACAAAATAAGACAGACAAAAATATGTAAGAAGTGGTCTTAGTTAAGGAGCTGGAGATATTGACACTGAAAATTACAAATTTAAAACAAACTTCAAAAGGACAGTCCAGCATTAGGAATACACGCGTGAGAAGTATTTTCAAAACCTCTAATGTGATGAATCTCATAATTAAACATCCTCATGACGATAGGAATGTGAACAGCCGTAAAAGATTTTTGTATAATCATTGATCCATCAGCAAAGTTTAAGCGACATCAGGACTTGCAAACAATGCAGTTACCAAAGTGATTTGATCTCATAAAAAGAAATCCTCATAGCAATAGGAATGTGAACAGCCGTAAAAGATTTTTGTATAATCACAGATCAGGTATCACTGGTATAAGTTCGAGACTTAGATTCTGAGATATGAATGCGGACGCGTGGGGACCGGGCGACAGTAAGATGTTTGACCGCGACCGCGAACACGTGGAAACAAAGGTAAGAACACGATCGCGCAAAGACTCCTACTCGTAAACTTTGAGGAAAAGAAGGTAACACAACTCTCGGGCAACCACGGGAGTTACAAGAATTACAGTTCACGACTAATAGAGACGAATAAGGAAGCAAATCGGCATGGTCAATAAATAGGTTAGACAAAATCATTCACTTTAATTACTCCAAACGGGAAATTAAAGTTGCATGAATATGGTGGATAGAAGTTACGTACAAAAAACGCGCAATATACAAGGAAATTCTAAGTTAAATACACTAAAGGTTTACTCCAACTTACTTTTAAGTCTTCTTGAGACACGAAACGTGTTGCACGCCGACTGAATGAGGTGGTGTCAAGAAACGGAAGGGATCTTATGGGGTTACTTCTGAATTCAGCCGCAAGTAGCGCTGCAGAACTTCCGTTTGGTTTGTGAACTGACCAGTTTTTGACCACTGTGAGCGTCCTGCAATAACAAAATAATTTAGGCGGTTTATGAACAAAAATTTAAGTTTTTACAAATATCTTTCAATTTAAAAAAATATTAAAACCTTGATAAAACGACAGAAAGCTCACTTGGTCAAGCATACTGGAAAATGAAGGGGCGAGGGGGGAGGTGAGGGGAGGAGGCGAGCAGGAGCTAGGTGTAAACAACACTCCGTTGCAAGTGTTAGAAAACAACGGTTTTTGGTGCAGAATTCCACTCTACGTGCATAGAATGAAAAAAATTGTGGATGAATTATTAAGACAATACAGCAGGCATGGCACTTCTTACACTGCTTAGGTTTTGAAGTGTATTAGGCCCGTTAGCCGCTCAACTGAAGTGTAACTATAACCTATATAATACCTATCAAAATGTCAAAGAAGGTGTCATATTTCTACAGCCCGGACGTAGGGAATTTCCATTACGGGCCGGGACACCCTATGAAGCCTCACCGACTCTCTGTCATTCATAGTCTTGTTCTGAATTACAACTTGCACAAGAAAATGCAACTATACAGACCATACAGAGCTAGTGTCCATGATATGTGTCGCTTCCATTCTGAAGAATATATCGACTTCCTGCAGAGAGTTACTCCGCAAAATCTCCAACAATATACAAAATATCTGAGTCATTTCAATGTTGGTGATGATTGCCCTGTCTTCGAAGGACTGTTTGACTTTTGCTCTATGTACACTGGTGCCTCATTAGAGGGGGCTACGAAGCTCAATCACAACAGTTGTGACATTGCCATAAATTGGTCTGGTGGGTTACACCATGCCAAAAAGTGTGAAGCCAGTGGGTTTTGTTACGTCAATGATATTGTAATAGGCATCCTAGAACTACTCAAGTACCATCCTCGTGTGCTGTACATTGATATTGATGTACATCATGGAGATGGCGTGCAAGAAGCATTTTACCTGACTGATCGAGTAATGACAGTATCTTTCCACAAGTATGGAAATTATTTTTTCCCTGCAACTGGTGATATGTATGAAATAGGTGCCGAAAGTGGTCGTTACTATTCTGTAAATGTTCCGCTGAGAGAGGGCATTGATGATGCAAGTTATTTTTCGGTAAGATAATTGTTTCTAGTTGCTGAAAATTAACACTTATGAACTTATCTGGACTTCAAACTTAACTAAATAAGCTCTGTTTTATCCAGGTATTCAAGCCAGTGATATCAGCCGTGATGGAATTTTTTCAACCTACCGCAATTGTTCTGCAATGTGGTGCAGATTCCTTAGGTAATGATAGATTGGGTTGCTTCAGCTTGAGCACAAGAGGCCATGGAGAATGTGTGAAGTTTGTGCGGGATTTGAATGTTCCATTACTGACATTAGGAGGTGGAGGGTAAGTAGTGTATCGAAACAAAAATTTGTACCTCATTACAATTATGGTTTCCTACATTTCTTGACCTCTACAACTTGTTTTCATAGATATACACTTCGTAATGTGGCTCGGTGTTGGACTTATGAGACTTCATTACTTGTTGATGAAGATATAAACAATGAAATTCCCTATAATGAATATCTGGAATACTTTGCTCCTGATTTTTCATTGCATCCTGAGGTTGTAACCCGACAAGACAATGCTAATTCAAAGCAATATCTAGAAGCAATAACAAAACATGTTTTTGACAATTTGAAAATGGTCAGTTTTTTAAATGTGTTGTTCTATTCATTATTCAATCAGTATTCTTCCAACACTTTTATTTATTTTCAAAATTTTCCTCCAGGTACAACATTCACCCAGTGTACAGATGCAAGACGTTCCTGGTGATCTTTTAGCTACACAGGAAAGGGATGCCATTATTAAGGATGAAGCCGATCCTGATGTTAGAATTAATCAAATTGATGAAGACAAAATGGTAGAACCTGCAATGGAGTTTTTTGATGGGGACAAAGATCAAGATAAAGCAGACACCACTCCCAACTCATGATCCTTACTGTAAATTTAATTTTTAAGTCAAATTTCATAAAATTAGTTAATGAAAATTGAAAGTACCTGTCTTATAAATACACACTATATTTGCCCTTAAAATCAAGTAATTTTCAACAGCTGAGCATCTTCTTTGATGTGTTTTATTTAAAGAAGTATGTCGTATCTGAATTTGCCATTTGTAGATACTTTTCTACAGTGTGAAAAAAAAAATAGTTTGATGCTCATAAACTGCATTTTATTATTGTACTTATATCTCGTGAAGAATTTCTTATCATGAACAGTTAACCTTGCTGGTTAAATATGTAATTTTATTGTATTACCTTTTTTTCCTCAAAATTATTCAAGTGTAGGTTGCTTAAGGATGCCTCTGGTCAGGTTATACTTAATTTTTTTCTGTTTTCATATGGAAATATTCCAAAATATTTTGTACTCATCAAAAGAATACTGTTGTTGCCAACCTTTAAAAATAATTTGAGGTAATTTTATATGATACCTAACTCTGTGGTCAAAGTAACGTGTTAAACAGAACCTGAAAAATGTCAAAAAGGGTTTAAGATACATGTAAGCATCGTATTTTGTAACTGTGATTTTTAAAATATACCTAGATGAAAATGGAATTCTAATCTCAGAATAACTTCTTGACATGTTACAGTAAACGTTATTTAATAATGATTAATTCATTATGAGCAATGGCAGAATTTTACCGCTGCACCAATCATAAAATATCTAGGATAAGAACAAAGGGTGTCATAATACATGATTGCAAGTGGGGTGTGAAATTGAAGTTTGAATTTATAAGTTTGAGATAGCAAAGCTAGCTTTTAATAGCGATTCCACAGTCAGTCACAAAACCTTTAGTAAAGCAGCAATAGGATTTCTTCCTTAAAACAATTGCAGTAGATTTACTTGCACAATTCCACTGACTAGATTGAAATACAAAGAGGTAGTTGTTGGGACAACAACTCTTTCCAGAAATATATGTACCTGAAATGGATAGTATGGAAGACAACAGAAAAGAAATGCCTGATAGAACCAACGTTGCCACAAACCTTCAAAATATGTCTAATTTTCAACATATTTCTAGGTTGGAACGCAACTCAAAAGTTTAAAATAGTGCAAAACTAATCCCCCAGATGAAAACAGTGATAATTACTCATTTGGGCAAACTGTGAAAACATCAAGAGGAGTCAAAACAATAATCTGCAAGAGTCTCTGCAGAAGAGATAAAAGCCGTCTTTCAGTGAAAAGGGAACAGAATAGCAGTCACAAGACAAACAGCAAGGAGCTCATGACAAACCAACAACATAAACTCAACGATAAACACATTTTCAACCCTTTCTTTACTTAATAATTTTATTCAAAAGGCAGACTTTGGTTTTAATTTTTAAGTCTCACGAAAGCCAGTGCACAACTGACGGTAACAGTATCAACAGACTAGGTCATACCCATACTTCTAAAGAGGATACCACATTATTTTACCGCAAAAGTATATGTATTAGAAATGGAGCAAAGTAGTGTTAACATCTACAGAGTTCAGTAAATATATGTGGTACTTAATCTATCACATTTAATGTCAGGTTCATACTGACATTTAAGGAAGTGTATTAAAAAAAAAAAAAAACTGCAAAAAAAATAAGCAAATTGGTACATCACTGTTCCATGTAAGAAGACAGGTTCAAGTTGATTGTCTCTCATATTGTATCACATCACTATAAGTCAAAAGGTAATCACACTTTATATATAATTATAAGAAACATCAAAGTTCAATTCAAATGTCTTTTTCAACATTAATTTAAAGTCATTTAAAATAACAAAGATTGTTCAGACAATGAAATATCAATATTAAATGTTAACAAACTTAACAATAGAAATAGTACCACAAAAGTAAAGAAAGTGTACTTCACAACTTAAGTAACCACACAAATCCACACTTCCCAAGATGCCATTTTTATTCAATTCTATGTAACACCCCTTTTCCGGATTTTGAAACCCATAAGTAGAGGGTAGCTTAGAACCAAGTATCTGTCTTTCAGGATTTTCCCCTCTGACTTCAACTGTAAAATTTGGGATGTGGCTTAGAATCAAGTAAATAAAGTAAAGGTGCTCAAAATTTTGTGAAATAGGGTATCCCACTCTCCTATTTATATGACATTCAATTAGAGGGCTAAGCTAGAACGAAAACAACATGTACCCTGCAGATAATTTTTAAAAACATTAACCATTTTCATACTCTATCCTTCAATCATGTAACAATATTGCTGGTAAATAATGTCACTAGAACAATTTATATTTAAAACGAATACTCAGCTTGTTCATCCAAGCTCGACTAAACAAAAATTGCATATAAGTGAGAGGAACACTTAACATTATTGGTAAGACATAAGATAGACATTGATCAGTCTACTTCATTGTTGGAAATCAAAGTGATACCATAAGATACCACATTAAGAATACACTGCAAACAAAAATATGTGAACTGAAAGAAATAAACAGAATTGATCATACACAGGTAAATATGACAAAAAGGTTACCAGACTTCGTTAAACAAGTGTGACAAAACAGCTCACTGGTATAGGAAGCAAGAGCCATTCCCCAATCAAATTACTAAAGTGAGCTTTAGGCGTATCAAACATAGATTAAATATTTAATGCTCAACCTTCCGAATTGTTTTTGAAATTGCGATGTGGGATATACGTATGACAGGAAGCACTAGAAGGTAAATGTGTCTGGAAATCTTTTGCAGCATATGAGATGAGTTACCTTGCGATTAAAGGGAATAAAAGCAAATACATTAATTTAGAGTACAATGCGTACCCCAGAGAAAATGATAGAAACTCCAAAATAAATAAAATGATAAGATAAATACAAAAATACTTTACGGTACACAATAGTACATAAAATAAAAGAGTAAAATTGTGAAGAACAGCTGTTTACACAGATACTTTGGTTACAACTGTGAATACATAATTGTGATCATTTTCAAGCACTGACACAGCCAATGTAGCAAAAGCACAGTAATAGTGCAAACTAGACAAACAGGCATTCCAAATTAACATAGCAATGAAAAAAAACACTTAAAAAGGGGCCCACTGTATGAGCTTACAGTAGATGGGGGCAGGGAGAACCGGCAGAGGATAACAATTCCATAAACTGTGTCATTCAAATGCGAAAAGAAAATCTTGCAAGTTCTTGTTAATTGTTGAAATATATCTAATGAAATGACGATTTGGTAAGAGTTACACTGCTTTAACATCGTAAATGTAGAACATATGATCCTGCCACAATCTTGAAAAAAAAAAGGGGGGGCATCGCAAGAAAATTCTGTTCCATAACAAAGTCGTCATGTTAGGCCATGTAAATTAAAGCGGTAAAATCAGAACATAACCAGCAGTCAAATTTAACATTTTCCTTATGAGTAAACATCAACCAAGAATTTATATAAGGTCTCAGGATATTGGTAATAAGGAGACAGAAAAGTTCTGAATCTGCACATGGAAAGAGGTAGCTGCCAACTAGAACTTATCACTACATGAAGGTTAATCTTTGGTTTTACAGGAACAGAATACTTCATAGCGGCAACATTTCAATTACTGTCAACACTCATCCAGCTGATGAGAGAATAGGGAAGTGGAGGGGGCTAAATAATCAATCAATAAGACATTCATACAAATGCTGATAAAAATAACAGTGCGCCCTTTGCATTGCAAAATTGCGCAGCTATACTCCTCTAGAAAAACTTGTGCGTTCTTAATACATACTGTTTGGAGAAAGCTGTTTACAAGACATTCAGAATATCATTAAATATCTTAACAAAGTCAAATCACATTTGGAAAGATAAGTACATGAGATAACTGTGGCCCCAGTACAAGAATACTGTTTTTAATTGGAGACGGAATAACAGGTAGATTTCTATGTAGAAGTCATTTGCCCTCATTATGGAAGCACTTATAAGAATATTTCACAAGGAAAACAAAACTCTGTCTCTAAAATATTAAGCATTAGAATTCATGAACATTTTGATGTTTGAAGAAAACATGTAGTGAGGAAGCAATGAGGTTGTGCTCTTAAGTGGGCAAAAAGTCATAAGGTTTGACTCCTAAAATAATTGACAACACAACAGAAGATCAGCTTCTTATGTCACCCCCACCTGCCGTATGTGGTTTGCATGTAGTAGAGTTGCAAGGTTGAGCACCACCATTTCCTTTTTTGCTTGAAAATATAGACACAGCTCCCTTTGTCATCAAAGAGAACCAATAGAACTGTGGAATTGTTAAAATAGCCATGCTGACTTTGCAACCTGTTGGAAGGCTCTTCATTGCCTTCAATCAAAAAATGAATTAGATTTAAACTCATTTAAGATAAATTGATTGAACAAAATTAATAATTAATACTAAATCTTACCTCCCAAATTGATTGGTTGATGAATTCACTGTACATGTACATAACATACGGAAACATTGCCAAACGACACAAGAAAAATGTTAAGAGCATGGTAAGCCCATTTATAACATATATGCTAGATGCTTTCATCTGGAAAAAAATATTAATTTATTAAACTACTTCACATAGAAATTTTCCAACAAAGAGGGAGTGTTAGATACCTTTAATTTACTGAGGATACCACGAATTGAAACAAAAGGGGTGCTAAGCTCCATGAGATAGACAAACCCAAATACGCAATCTCCCAGACCACCACGCAGATACTAAAAGAGAAGGATACGTATGAAATATGAAAGTTGAAGAGACATCAGTGAAATATGCTGGTGAATCCACGCAACAGAACTTACCACAATCAGGAGAAACCCAAACGATCCAATAAAAAGGTGATGTAGAATTATTAGAGGTTGTCTTATAAGAAAATCAGCAACTTTGCTCAGACGGCCTTTTTGTTTCTCCTTATTAACAGTGCCGTTAATAGCTCCATTAACAGCGGTACACAAATGAACTTTATACATAGACCAAATGTCATAAAAAAAATAAGCTGCGCCAAACCATGCATACGCTTCTGAAATAAAGTGGGAAGAACGGAGAAAATTTCTTGTGCATGACCAAGCACATACAACTACCCCAGTAAAACATGATAAGACAGCTTGAACAGCAGATACAATTCTGAAACAAAATAAGAAAATGAGCAAAAAGTAAAAAATGAGTACAAAATATAGCAACGCAACTAATATAAAATAATAGAACATACTTGTTAGAAATGTCGAGAACCTCTCCTATGTTAAGCTGATACTTCTTACGGCAACGCTGCCCAATTTTTGTTTCAAGTCCAACATGGTTCAGTAGAGCAAATAAAGAAACAAAAAATACTAGGCCAAGTGCTGAAAGCCAAGCTCCAAGGGCAATAGGAATGTGGTCACTCGGATGAAGGGGTATCAAGGATATTCCAGCAACACTTAGTGATCCAACAACAGAGACCACCAATAGGTACAAGGCACAGTTACTGCATTGCATGTTCTGCTCCACCTGAAAATTATTACAAAAGAACAAGTTAGGGCTAATTAACAATGTCACTTGTCATTTGAACACAAAGTGTGGAGGCAGGTGTGATCACATGATTATTAGGATCAACTTTCAGGTTAAATTCAACAAGTGGACTAGGGTTAAGCTTTTAGACAAGAAGTGCATTTTGCTAACAAAATACAACAATTGACATGAAATAATCGTTTTTGATCGGTTTAAACTTGAAAATCAAAGTAAAACGAGACATGAATGATGTCTTCACTGAGTATTTCAAACTAAGACTCAAGCGAGCGTAGAGCACTTAAGCTTACGTAGAAGGGAAGTTTTCTCAAGATAATTGAAATCACGAAATTCGGGCCTCAAATCTGCTGACGACTGCAGGAATACTTGGAAAATTGGACAGGTTATGAGTATCAATGTGGAAAACCAATCTAACCTATCCCCCGCAGGTACAAGAAGCTTTACAGCAAACGGTAGCACTCACACTTTTCTCCCTGCCATTGATAGTTTTCGGAGCGCCGACCTCCATCATTTACGATAGAATCCTTGGGGGAAAAGGTTAACACTCCCCTGCGGACGGGGACGCCGCCAAATCCATTGAGTGCCGTCTGCTTCTGCTACAGCTCGCTGAGCTCGCTGAGCTCGCCCGCGCCTAGCTCCTCCCCTTTCGCCCCGCCCCGCCCCTCTTCCTAGTGCATGCGTCCTCTCTTCCGAGAGCCCCCCCCCCC